TGTTATTTAATAATAGAGAAAATTCAATTTTTAAGTGGATATTATAAATTGATTAGAGCAATATTTTAAAATGGTATACAATAAAATTCTTATGAAATAGTTTTGTATGATCCAATAATCCTATTTAATAATAGAGAAATTTTCATGTATCCAGTGAAAATTATCAATAATTGAATATGATTTTTAATTAAATACTATAAATTTACTATAGTAATATTTTAAAATGGTATAGAATAAAATTCTTATGAAATAGTTTTATATAATCCAAAAATCCTATTTAATAATAGAGCAAATTCAATTTTTAAGTGGATGTTATAAATTGATTATAGCAATATTTTAAAATGATATGCAATGAAATTCTTATGAAATAGCCTGATATGATCCAAAAAATGTTATTTAATAATAGAGAAAATTCAATTTTTAAGTGGATATTATAAATTGATTATAGCAATATCTTGAAATGATATACAATGAAATTCTTATGAAATAGTTTTATATGATCCAGAAATTATATTTAATAATAGAGAAAATTCAATTTTCAAGTGGATATTATAAATTGATTATAGCAATATTTTAAAATGGTATACAATAAAATTCTTATGAAATAGTTTTATATAATCCAAAAATCCTGTTTAATAATAGAGAAATTTTCATATATCCAGTGAAAATTATCAATAATTGAATATGATTTTTAATTAAATACTATAAATTTACTATTAGTAATATTTTAAAATGGTATACAATAAAATTCTTATGAAATAATTTTATCTGATCCAAAAATCTTATTTAATAATAGAGAAAATTCAATTTTTAAGTGGATATTATAAATTGATTATAGCAATATCTTGAAACGATATACAATGAAATTCTCATGAAATAGTCTGATATGATCCAAAAAATGTTATTTAATAATAGAGAAAATTCAATTTTCAAGTGGATATTATAAATTGATTATAGCAATATCTTGAAATGATATACAATGAAATTCTTATTTAATAGTTTTATATGATCCAAAAAATGTTATTTAATAATAGAGAAAATTCAATTTTCAAGTGGGTATTATAAATTGATTATAGCAATATTTTAAAATGGTATACAATAAAATTCTTATGAAATAGTTTTGTATGATCCAATAATCCTATTTAATAATAGAGAAATTTTCATGTATCCAGTGAAAATTATCAATAATTGAATATGATTTTTAATTAAATACTATAAATTTACTATAGTAATATTTTAAAATGGTATAGAATAAAATTCTTATGAAATAGTTTTATATGATACAAAAATCCTATTTAATAATAGAGCAAATTCAATTTTCAAGTGGATATTATAAATTGATTATAGCAATATCTTGAAATGATGTACAATGAAATTCTCATGAAATAGCCTGATATGATCCAAAAAATGTTATTTAATAATAGAGAAAATTCAATTTTTAAGTGGATATTATAAATTGATTATAGCAATATTTTAAAATGGTATACAATAAAATTCTTATGAAATAGTTTTATATAATCCAAAAATCCTGTTTAATAATAGAGAAATTTTCATATATCCAGTGAAAATTATCAATAATTGAATATGATTTTTAATTAAATACTATAAATTTACTATAGTAATATTTTAAAATGGTATACAATAAAATTCTTATTTAATAGTTTTATATGATCCAAAAATCCTATTTAATAATAGAGCAAATTCAATTTTCAAGTGGATATTATAAATTGATTATAGCAATATCTTGAAACGATATGCAATGAAATTCTCATGAAATAGCCTGATATGATCTAAAAATCCTATTTAATAATATAGAAAATTCAATTTTTAGTGGGTATTATAAATTGATTATAGCAATATCTTGAAACGATGTACAATGAAATTCTCATGAAATAGCCTGATATGATCCAAAAAATGTCATTTAACCCCTTAACGCTCATATTTTTCGGGTTAACCAACAATAATCAGTTTTCTTTATTGGATTTGTTCCTAAAAATACGGTTTTTGTTAATTACAATGTTGCATCTGACGTATAATTTGAAGGAAAACAAATATTATCATCCCTTAAACTATCCCTTAAATTTTCAAGTGGATATTATAAATTGATTAGAGCAATATTTTGAAATGATATGCAACATCTTATTTAATAGTTTTATATGATCCAATGGTGTAATCGAATTTGTTGTCGAAGGAATTATTTTTCTTGGTCGCGGAATAGCGAGACGCGGTACTTCAAAAATAGGTCACTCGTATCCGAAGGCTGATCATCCCCCTCCCCCTGTACAATGGTCCGTGTTAATTTGTTAATGGAAACCGCAAGTAATCCCTGCTAGTTCGGAAACTAGTTGTAGCCGTGTCGGTACAAGGCCTCGTTCAACGCAAGAGCATTATGGCTTTCGAATGTTTAGAACGTGATATAAACGTAGCAGTAATGGACTGCAGAAACGACTATAAAATCCATCTTCCGACCGATCTCTGCTCGCCCGTACGAGTCAATTTTGTCATTGATGGTCCCGCGGAGAACGAACGATGCTGGATTTTATCGCGCAGAAATGTCTGCTCGTTCCATCCGCGGATTCTAATTGAAAATGCACTTTGCCGTGCGGAGACGCGATTAGACGCGGTTATTGTTTTGTTCCAGTTGCGTGCAGGTCGATGCACCGAATAATGTCTTTGCAACGTTAGTGAAATTTACTCGTTAGACAGATATTCGATATACTTATCCTAGTTTCGAAGCTGTCTTTGCTTGGCGGTCCTTTGAACGCGAGGAGGAAAGGCCCTTTCGTGGAGGATAATGTAACTCCTTTGTTTATAACAGATGAGTGTCGGATCTAGCCTTTTTTCCTCGTCCGTCGGTTAAGTCTGCTCGTCTCCGCGTCTGAATAAACATATCTGATGTCTGTCGGGGCCCACCCAGCCGGAGCTATTAAAACCCTTATGGGAAAGTCGGTTCCATCCCGTCGATTTATTCCATGCACAGTTCGATCGACTCAAATCTGCCATCGAACGATTAAAACGTTGTTGCGGAGAGCCTTGAGTTTACCTATCGGCGCGTTCCGAGTAAAATTCTCCTAGTTTCAACTCCCTCGTTAGGACCTGTTGGTCTCGAACGGTTCCTCGGAGTTGTGTACGAGAAAAAATCCCCCGCGTTTTAACAGTTACACTCAGGGAACACGCGTAAAAGCATGGCTGGATGAAAAAAAACTACTTGTTCGGGACGAAGTCGGGTGAAACGCGTCAAGTTTTTACGATCTCGTGACGCAGACGTTTCGGGACTGGTCGTTGAAGGGTGAAGAAAAGAAGAGACGTCAGTTTTTATTTTACTCTTTTTTTTTAATGAACCACTTGATATATTTGAATAGATCTGTATCATCACATAGGTGCGCGGAAACAATGGAGTCAGCCTGGCGCTTGCTTATAATAAATCGTGATAACGCTTAATCGATACAGGTGCCCTTTGGTTTTATTGCACACGAAACCACCGAGCAGGGCAAAAAAAAGGTCTTTGAACATTTTTACCAGCTCCTGACGCTAAGAGCGCCGATGGTGGTCCTTCGAACGCTTCCGTTTCTCGTCCGAAGATCGATCGGAGCTACCCACGCGTCGACTGCCAATCGGATTTCAGAAAAATGTCGCTTTGCAATAACAATTTGCTTCGAATTAAAGTGTAGAACTGAAAGTGGCAGTCGGCACGTCGCCCAAACTCGTTGTTGGTTTTCAAAGTTTAAATACAGCGCCGGTCGAAGCGTCGATCGCGACTTCTAGTTACGATTCCAGGACTCAGAATAAATAAATACTCCAGCCATCGATACCGATCGACACGGATTGCATTTTATACAGTTATTTACATGCTAATTTACACGGTCCTCTTCCTGGACTGTAATAATATTTATAAGTAAATTTATAATTAACGTACCCGCTACGCGTCGACAGAATAATCGATACCGTGCTCTTTAATCGTTATTACAATGTGACTGTGTACGTGGTGTGTGTGTGTGTGTGTGTGTAAGTAAGTGAGTGGGCGAAACGAATTAAAACATTTCTAACATTAAAAAGGAATCTCGATCTCTTACCTTAATCGCGGAGGACTAGCTTAAATCGTACTTAAATGAAACTTAACGAAAACGAAGAAACAACACTCTCCTTTTGATCTTTTTAAACTAGCCGGATAGATCCCCGAGGCAATCGTCAGTAAATTCTAATGGACACTAAACCTACCGACACTTTGTGTACATCCATTCCTACCATGACCGGTCAAATAACTGGTTTTCTCTTTTACGAGGCAGACTGGGATGATAATTACGCAAAACATCCTCTGTACAAATTTAAATTCAGTTTTATCGCGTTTGGGTATGTAGAGTCAAAGTAAATTGCAAAATAAACATGGAAGGGAGCATAAATTATAGTGTTTAGCGCAATCATCGGATAGGGGATGAAATGCCCTTTAAAATGAGCGTTTGTACGAGTCGATAGCTTAATTAGTTCCGAAGATATAGCGATTTTAGTCTGAAGTCGATGCGGTGGCTAGTTGAGGAGATAGGGTTTGTTTACGTTCCATTGTTTACATCTGCGCGAGGTCAATGAACTGGCGACTCACGCGCGAGAGAGAGAGGTCTAAAAAACTATTTGAAAAATTACCCCTTTACATAAATTGCGATATCTCGAAAACGGAAAGTCCGATCGTCAAAAACCAAAAACCATTTTAAAGGGGAGGCTTTGCCGCTTCTAACGATACCTCAATAATTAACAAAACATTAATAGTTTCGGAACTGCAGGGGTCTAAAGTTCAACTATTTTTAACACGCGTTGTATGACTGTACTAAGACAGTGGAAACTGAAGATTCTCTCCTTTACGTATATTTTACGTATAATACGGTCGTTTGATCGGTCGTGGTAGGTTTCAGTGTTAAAAATAGTAGCCAAGGAGAATCGGTTTAAAAAATATTTCGGTTAGTCGTTGCGCGGGAATGAACGACGATCGACCGTTTGATTCGCGCGATTTATTTCTCGTCGTTGATTTTGGAGAGCTGGCTCGGATCGAGGTCCGGCGCGATCGTGTTTTGCACCTGAATATGAGCGGAGTGAAGGGGCGGACAGAGCAGGGGATGATAGGGGAGGCAGTAGTATGGGAAACCACCGAGCGCTTTGTTCGCGGGATGAATTTGCGGTGCAGAGATTTGTCCGGGAAGTTGGCCGGAACCACGAAGTGGCAGTCCCCTCAAATGCTCGTCCGGATGCACGAGGACGCGTACAGCCACGCGCCTCGCGTTCCCGGAATTAACCAGGGCGCCCAGTTCCTGTTGCTGCCGCCTTTTGGTCTTGTATCTGGAGATTTTACGAGATTTTTAACAATTTTACGGAAATGAATGACCGCTATCACCCGGAATGGGGATCGTACCGTCTGTTCTGGAACCAAATCTTCACTTGGGTCTCGGTCAGCTTCAACCCCCGCGCCAGGTCCGCCCTCTCGGGCCCCGACAAGTACTTCTGCGCGGCGAATCTTCTCTCCAGCTCGTAGACCTGGGCGTGCGAGAACGCCGCTCTGCTCCGTTTCTTTCTGCTCTGGTGACTCTGGTTGTGGCTCTGCGCCTCGAACATGTCCTCCTCCGCGTCCTCTGGAAATTCCCATCGTTCACAAACCCCCATCACCATCGATTATTAGATCTCGCGGCACCCAGGTACACGCTCGAAAACCGATCATCCGCGATCGTAAATCAAACGCGTTTTAGCTAAAACTGAGGGGGGGAGGGTAAACGAGAAGGTGGACCAACGAGTAACCATCCTCTGACAGCCATAGAAGCGGCGAACGCTCCGAATCAGTTCCGCCCGCGTTTGATGTCTCGTTCAAACATTAACACGTGCACTCGCTACTCCGACATGTTTACGCTCCTGTTCCACGGTAATTCTCCTCTCTCTAAGTTTAACCGGTCGCGCCCCGGAGTGCAATCGTCTTTCCACACCGTCCTAAAATCCTACTTGCTTTCTTTTCCAACCGAGAAAATCGAATCACGCGGCCCTGTTATTGTTATTACTTTTCTACACCCGTGATGGCTGTCTCGTCGACCGTGTATTCCGGGACTCTTTTATACTATTTAATTGTTATTTTTACTCCGGATGAAAAAAAAAATGGGATTCCAAAGGTCCCATGACATCATAATTATTTCGTACGTGGTTCGTGCTTCGTGCTGCGTCAATGTTTATCGGCAGTGGCCCGATGGGGGGACGCAAAGCATTTAGAGAGATCTATATTTGATCACTTTCGACGTCAACTCTGTGCCATCTCGTCCGGCTAATGCGTCCCTCCTCTGACGTTCGTCAAACATCCTACGCGTCCTACATCGAGAGTGTTCGCGAGGAGCAAGTGCCGTTTGCTCTCGCTCCGATTACAACGAGATGACCCTTCGTACCTTCCCGAACCCTTCGACCGTCGTTTATCAAATAAATTCATACGAACCACAAACACAGGGCAAACGGAACTTCATCAGGGGGACGGTTCGCCTTTCTCGCGTACGAAATTAATAAGACAGAGGGGTAGTGCTTCTCATTAATTTATCGAACAGTATACGTAAACAATTTTGTATCCATCCACTCTACGAACGACTCTGGATTAATGGCGGCAGGAAACGGGACTTTAATAGACGGCCTGCGAGGAACTGCCTCGCGTATCCTGTCCATTACCGTATTAAGTGATTCCCAAGAACGATAGAGGAAAAGGGGAAATTTCGTGAGCGAGGCTTGAAACGGTGCCAGCTCGTGCCCTGCACCCTCGAGTGATGAAAAGGAACGAAACAGTCCCAGGTACGAAGAAATTACTTAATTGCAGGTTCCATGATATCCCCCAATGCTAAGGTCTTTCCTTTTACAAGCTTATCCTTTCCTTAAATTTAGATCAGTTAATTGATCGAGACACCTGGACCTATCTCTTACAAGAATCGAGGAGCTGTCGATCGGCGAAAGAAGGCGATTTCTTGGGAAATCTGACGGTTCTCCCGGTAACCTTGATCTAAATCTGTTTTTGCTTCCGATCCGTGGATCCTCGACGACTCGAGACAGAGCAACAGTGTGGGCCAGGGATCGAACAAGTGCAAGAAGTAGAGTGCCGGCCACTTGTGACGTCTGCCGGGTCGAGCACCACTTATGCTACTAAAATTACATTCGATCACGTTATCTGCGCTCGGGTTAACTTAAAAAGAAAAAAAAAACCCTTGAAAAGCTTGCCTGTTACGAGGATACCCGTGGGGCTAAATGATCTCTTAAGCCTGTATCCTCGTGGCAGACACACGATCTCCCAGAAGGGAGCTGCCTTGGCTACCGACGCGAATCGCGATTAGGAAACCCCGTGACATACGTAAATTAGAAACGCTTACCGAGATATTTGTTCTTGCTCATGTCCAGAGCCTCGTCCTGCTGTCTCTGAGAAGCCTCCCTGGAGTCCTTGGCTGGCTGATAGGCGGCCATGTTACCCAGGGTCTCCAGGTGCTTGAAGGTTCCCTGGGTCAGGTGCGGGATGGTACCAAAGTTCGTGATGTTCGCGTGAACCAGGTTCCTCGTGAGAATGTCCAGCTCGCGGGCCACGTTCAGATCCGGCGACGGGAGCCTCGGGAACCGTGTCATCCGACTCTGGTCCAGCTCGTTGCGAGCTTCTCTGCGATCCACCTCCAATTTTTTCGCGAACAAAGAACCGCCCTGGGTCTCGTCGGACTCCGAGGATCGTCGCTCGTGGTCCGGATAAGAGGTTCTGCGACTGAGAATGTCCGCTATACTGAACGGCGTCAGCTGGGACGGTTTCGGCGACGCTTCGCTCCGTTTCTCTTCGTCCATCGTCTCTTCACGCCCCGACATCACCTCGTGGACCACCGAACTCTCGACGAAATTACAGCTACGGCGAACTATTCTCGCGATTCCCGGCGTAGTTTCGATTCGTTCCGCGAACGTTCACCCTCTTCACAGCTCCAACGATACCGTTTCTGCCATCGTTCGGGATATCACGAGCCCCGAACGCCACCCTTCGTGGTCCTGGACACGGACATGTCCTTGCCGCGAGCACAGAGACGAATTTTTTAGGCTGGTGGAGCACGATCCGGCCACGTTCTGGCGGATCCGCGAGTCGACTGGCGCTCGTCGGTAACTTCCGCGTCCGCGTAATCTGCTGTCAGTGCGGTGCACCCGGCTCCGTCCGTTATTAATTGTCGTTTGGCGAGCACTCGAGGGCCGCGTGCACCCTTCCGCACCGAGTGTGCTTCGGTCAAGTGTGCTTGTCGCGCGCGTAGACTTATTTTTCGAATTAGTCCGCGGCCACTTCAACCGGGGCTTCCTTCTTCCCTTCCTCCCGCGCTGGCTATCTTCCCCTTCTATCCCAGCCACCCCCCACCAACCGTTCATCCCTCCACTCGCGACTTACCACGATCCTCCTCCTCCGCGAACACGCTTTTTACTTTTACGCGTCACTTCGCCGACCCTTAACGACCGTGGATCGATGTTCGCGCTGATATCGGACACCGCCGTAGGGTTCTTACGGATTCCCAGTCCTCTTTCAACTCTGATCTATCGCTGTTCGCGGAGCAAAAATTTCCAAGTTTCGAGTCGCTCCAGGAATTCGAGTTTCGCGGCGTAGGTGGAGCCTCGAATGACCTCCAAGGTTGGTCCCCGCGACGCTCGACGACGCTTCCGTCACGACGCAAGCCTCGCCCTACGACCAATCCACGACTCTACCCGCGACGCCGCTTTCCCCACCGAGCCAATCGATGCTTCCACGAAGCCTTCTCTAGGTGACGAGCGACGCTCGCCCCCCGGGAGTGGGATCTTCGTGGTTTTTTCAGGGTCGAGCCGCCCGGGGGGGTGGCGGCGACGAAGGGGTGGCTCGAGACGTCTTTCAGGTATCGCGCGTGACACGTCGTTTTATCCGACCGAGTACTACTTCGTGCAAGTGTTCGTTCCCGATTTAAGGTCGATGATTTATTGACTCAGCTGACGAGCACGTTCGCCAAAAAATTGCAGCAAGACGACTGTTCAAATTGACAAAATTCACGATAGAAATATCTTTTACGCAACGTTGATGCCCTACGTAGGATTTTCGTCTTGAGAGACGAGAGCCATCGAAAACCCCTTTCAAAAAGTTCCCCGCGATGGTACGGTGGGGCACAGAGGCAGGAGCGTTGTACGTACTTCGTCTCGTATCGAGTCGAGAGGAAACTGCGCGGTGCATATATAGGGTGTGCTTTACATAACAATCGCCGCTAAAGACTTGCAGCATTGTCCGCCACGTGCTGCCAGCCGAGTTCCTATGGCGGTTTAATTAAGTGTGAACCACAGGAGCGTGGATCACGCCTCACTTGATCCGATGATGGCCTCGCGCGTTCCGGATATCGACGAGGAAATAATTCCACCTTCCTAGACACGATATTCCTTGAAATTCTCTCGGGAAATACTTGACCAATAGTCATCGCCTCCTTCGAGTCAATTTTCAATTCTCTAGCCTCGAACGTTCCGGAGAGTGCCAGGAATCGACGATTAGCAGGTGGCGAGTAATCGAACCGGAAAAACGTCCGTCATTTCCCTATTACTGGTTTCAGAGGGGAGAGAGTGTCGTCTCGGTGGGGGGCGAATGTTTAAGACGACCACGTCTTCGGCTCTCTTTTTCTCGATTCGATCTAATCAATAATAAATTATAGGGGGATGGCGGTACATCTCTCCCCTAGAGCTAAGCCCTGACCCTCCCGCTCAATTGGTCGCAATTCTTAAAGACCTTAATTGGCGCGGAAAATTATACCTTATTTCAGTTACCCTCGAACGAGACCAGAGACTCGTCTCTCCTCTCCCACCCTCCATCGTCCACGATCCCAACCCCCTTGTGCTCTTTGGCCACCCCCACCGATTCGCTTTCTTACGAGTTCGATTCCGCCACTTGGATATTTCTTTTTACCGCCCCCCCCCCTGGCTGAGCAATCGCTGGAAATATCAAGCCGAGTTTCGGGGCGATCGTTTCGGCCACTTTCGATCGGGCCAGTCGTAACAGTTAACCGCTCTAAAATCGTTCTTTTATAAATAGACCGCGGCGGATTGCGGTGAGCTGGACTCTTCGGATCCCCGAGATCAGAAAATCCCCAAACACTCGTTTTTTTTATTATTTCGTTGTGTTTGCCCCCGGGCCAAAGAAGGCGCGAGCTCGGGATCGATAAATCGTAAGGAATTTCCGGTTTGGGGGGGAAAAATAGTGTTCCTCGTAAAAATATTTTGCATCGTCGTGTAGGGGCAAGAACGCGTTCCCCGAAGCATCGACGGGAAAAGGCATTTCGACGACAACGAAAGTAACGAAGATCGTGGACGAAGGAGCACGCTCTATGGGCGGGCATAAGAATATAAAAACAAGAAGACCGGATGACTGCTAACTGTTTGTTAGTCTTGGGTTTTAAAGTCCGCGCGTCTGTCAGTCCAGAGATGTAATATTAGTGCTTAGTATACGCTGCCGCCACCGCTCTCTCGCTCATTTACTTCTTCTTCCTCTCCTTTCATCCTGGCTCCGTTTACCTTCGAGTCCTGCATCTTCTCCCCCGAGACCCTCCGCGCCTTTATACGTTCATTGAATCTTCCCGAAATTATCGTCGTCGAACCACCAAACCTCCCCCCCCCTAAACGTTGCGACGTTTTATCTAAAAATATACACGGTTGTCGACATATTCGCTACTTTGATACACCTAGGAGTGAGACTCTAACACGTGTAACTAATAATTTCGTACACAAACGTTTGATCGATTGAAGTTCTGGTTTTTTTTAGACGTGTCGGTAGTTTGCGGATTGTCTGGTTTATTGGGAACTATTTCCGGACGTTTGTGGCAGCCGACAGGGGATCTATAAAGCGAGTGACACCGGGGAACTGTTCCTGTTGATGGAAACTTCAATTCATATCACCGTAGAATTAATCGTAAAATAAATGCAAAGAATACGATATTTGATAAACGAGAAATAAAAATGATTTCTTGAATAAATCTTATTGCATAGAGCGCGCCAGGAAATGCACACCAAAATTAGATAAGGATGCATTCTGACCTTTCGACTGTCGGTAAAGCAGAGATCGCGGTGCGTTTCTGTCTCCTCTATCGAACATGCAGGTCCCTGCACTGGGAACGCACCGACAGTGGTAAAAAAGAGATCCAACGCTGACTTACCGATCGCAGAGCAGCGGAATATTTTCAAAACTGACGTAACGGCGCGCGGAAATATTTTTAAAAACGCGATAAAACATAATTCGCGGAGGTCGCGAGGAATGGAAATAAAAGCAGTCGAAAACTATAATTGGCACTTTGTGACGTCTCGTTGCGTTTCTTCGAGGCGCATTCATACATCCCGTACGTCATGTTCTAACATTAGTAAGAGAATATCGCGCGTGATATCAGTTTCCGTTCCCTCGCGCCATAAATCCCCTGGAATTCTTATCGAAATAATTTCCCGCCATAAACTTCGTATTAACCGGCGGTTGATCGATCAAAACTCTGGGGGAAAAAAGGCTGCCCGGTGTGATTAACGAGCCTCGAAGGATTTTATGCATACGCACGAGAGCGTGTGTCTATTTGAACAGCATCAATTTTTCTCGTCGATTCGCCTAAGCCCTCCCTGTCCCGCGCAGGCAAATAGGATCGAATTTCAACGTTTAACTTCCGATGATTGATTATGCGAATACGGTGTCTCCTAATGGGGGCTTTCAGAGTGAAATTTTGGTTCGTGGAAGGAACGATAGATATTGTTTTCCATTAAAAATTCATAGGCGGTTTAAATTTACGCGTCGTCTCGAGGCCGGTGGAGGTTTCTGGAACTCGTCCAGAAGAATGACGCGACAAGTGCAGGCAGGTGCAAAAGCAGGTGCGCACAGGTGCACAGAGGCGGAGTCTGAAGGCTGGTACGCGCTTAGGCGAGCCTATGGGAAGGCCGATATCACCGACATTTTTATCAGCTTGTTCCCATGGCCCTTTATGGCACCAGTAGCACCATGAACAACGATTACACCGACGTGAATCGTCTATGTGAAGGCACTTGACTGCCAGATGACCCGTCGTGCTTGCGCGATAACCTAAAAGGCGCCCATGGCTTCGCTCAAGCTGTCAGAACTTACCTATTTATAAATGCCATTTCGCCATATTTTCGTTTTATCGTCGCTCACCGTCCCGGGGGGAGGGGGGGAGGGGTGTCCGAAACATCCACCTTTACAAAACTAGAGACACCTTTTCCCCCGCATTAAACACCCTTAGAGATTACACCCCTAGCTACTTCATTGGAAATTAATTAATCTAAAAAATAAGATCAAGCTTCTATCTAACATCGCGTAGGAAAAGGAGCAGAGGTTCCAGGGATGAATGATTCGACGGCCAAAGTTTCACAAACTTAATACTTTATTGTATTTCAATTTCACTTAATCAATCGTGCACAATCAACACAATGAACACTTCGAGATCCTTTAAACCGAAAAAAGCAGAATTACGAGACGTTTCCGCAAAACCCACTTGAAGCGATTTCCGTTCGCTACTCGAGTGGCGCGTTACTATTTCCAAGAGAGAAAGAAAACACAGCTAATTACCAGCTTGAAACTACCTTCGACTCTTTGGCTAGCTGTTTGGTAACGTTTCTAGATCGTTCTGACTTCGTAATTTCCTAGTTAAAAAAATAATACGCGAAGCACGAGGGAGTCTTGCACGAGATCACGGTCCCCCTACCACAGTCGCTGGAGATTCTGGTCCATGGGCACCTGGTCCATGTAATTTACGTACTGCATCTGGTAATTGGCCGGTCCCAAGTAATTGGCGAACCCGTAGTCGCCGTTGGGTACCCCCATGGCCGGTCTGCCGTCGCTGACGATCGGTTTGTTGTCCGTCGGTAGGCACTTCATCTCCGGGAATGGCGTCTCGTTGTCCTTGTACTCAGCCTTGATCTGCCTCTGACAATCGTGCACCGTCGGGACACTGTTCCTGTACTCCTGAACGTGCTGTCTGGGCTGCAGATCACCGCTCAAGCTCGATTTTCCGCTCATATCGGAGCTCATCTCCTGCTTGTACTCCGGGCTGATGCTCGAGTCCATCCTAGCGTCGCTCGTGTGCCGAATCTCGTTCATTCGGAATTCGGACTGCACCGACACGGTCAACTCCGGCCTGATGTTCGGCCAGTACGGGGGATTGTACGAGTCCTGCATGTTCAGCTTCCCGTCCTTGATCAACACCGGCACGGAGATCTTCTTCAGCGATTGGTTCTTCATGCTCTGGGCCTGCAGCTTCTCCGCGTCCTCGATCCTCGCCCGTTTGTTCTTGTAACGACGGTTCTGGAACCAGATCTTCACCTGGGTGCTGGTCAGCTTCAGAGTCTGCGCCAGCAACTCTCTCTCCGGCGCGCTTAGGTATCTCTGTTGCTTGAATCGCTGCTCCAGCTCGTAGACTTGAGTCTGGAACGGGATTAAGAGATAGGATCAACTCTGCAATACTCGAATTTAAGTGGATAGAGGTTGAGATATACTTACTTGGGAGAAGAGAACTCTGGGCTTCCGCTTGGTCCTCTTGCCGGACTGACCCTTCCGTAGTTCGGTCTTGCTCGATGTCACCACGTTACCTGTGCAAAATCACTGTTTTAATCGCCACGAAGGGAAGCAAACGAACGTTTGGAAACCGTACCGTCTTCTATGATCGGGGGCTCTTGATACTGCGGGGGTATTTGATTCAGCTGATGAGCGTGGCTCAGTTCCGGGTAATGGGGGTAGCTCTGCATGGTTTGCTCCTTGAATTTCTCGAATTCCCATTGACTCTCCGGCACGATGTAATTGTAATACTCTTGGGCCACGTGTTGCTGCTGGATCTGGTGCTGGTGGTGAGCGTTCGGGTAGCAATCCATGATGCTCAGTTGCTGATCCTCGCTGAGAATGTCGCGGACGCTGAACGGGGTTCCGGAGATCGAGGAGGCCAGCATTCTAATGCATTCTCGACGTTTATCGCGAAACTGCACTTTAGGATGCACTGTCACTCGCTGATTACTCCTGGGTGGTTCACTGGAACGATCAATCTTCGATTTTCACAAGAACTTTCGATGTTTCGATGCAAAACCGAGTCTCTGTCGATCGGAAGGCCTTCCCCGTGAATTCTACGAGCTGGTTCCTCGAGGGTTAATTGCACTCGAAACGCCGTAAAGGGGTGCGAACGCGAAACTATAAAGCCTCGTTACGACCTTGTTGACACTCTGTCGGGGATCGTTTTACGAACGCGCCAGTTAAACGTCAAATCGCGTCTGCTCGCGCACGGGGGATGGTCACGGTTGAACGGTCAGGCCGGAGGGCAGACGTGTAATGTGACTTGCTCTTCCGAGGGAGTCAAGTGTTGGTCCCGTGGCACAGGGACACCACTCGTGTGTGTGTGTGTGTGTGTGTGTGTGGGTGTACGCCAGTGGCAGAGCGCGAGAGAGAGCCAAGATTTTCACCAGCACACCCTACGTCACCGATCGAGGGGGGTGGTCCTCGATTTTCACGGATTGGTTAATTTTCATTTCACCTGAAATTTCGGGATTTTCTATCTCGGAATTGTTGTTTTTGTTGTGAATTCTTTTACGTTCGATTTGCTCGGAATTGATCCCGATTTCGGAGCAGAGGAGAGGAACCTGTTTTAAAAAAAATCCAATCGACTCCGCGACGCATAATAATAACGATCGGAAGTGCAGGGACGATTAAAGTGACGGCGAATCTGTTTTTGCCCGCGAGACAGCCATAACGCGGTGACTAACGTTTCGGGGCGGAGGAGAAAGCCGAAGGCCCGCCTATGGTCGAACCATCGAGCCAATCCAGACATACCGCGAACCTTGCTTCGAAAACAGACGATTAAATCTCGATTCGAGCGGGATTGCCGCCTTCTGGAATTTTACGAGCCACTACTCCGATAAACAGCGAAACCGGGACTAATGGCGGTGCCAACTTTATGATCAAGGTGATCTAGCAAATTGACACAAGTATTACCCTTTGATGGGAAATAGTTCCTCGCGGGAACTCTTTTGGCGATCGAAAAATTTGAAAAATATTCCATCCATCCATGAGAAAGTCCTTTTTTAGAGCTAATGGCTGTGAACTTCGAATCTGAGATCGTGTAGGCCTCGAATTCTTTAACGAAATTGGTAGATTACTCTTAGTGTTGGTATTACAGTATGTTCCCATGAACCTAAGAGTTCACCCATAAGTTGACCAATATTTCTCTGGTGCATCCTTCTGATAAGTCATTGGCCCATTCCCATGAATTTATAACCCAGAGAATGTGTACACTTTTGGTAAAAATCTGTTTCCAAAGTGAATGTAAACCGTCGTAGGAGGAATTGGCAAAAATTGAGGAGGGGAGGGGGGAGGGGGGCCCGAGGGTTCGAAGAGGGCGATTTTTCGGAGTCGAAACGACGAGAGTCAAGGGTTCCCGGCGTCTCGAAAGACGGCGTCTGGAATATGTTACTTTCCATCGATGCTGGCGGGGGTGCGGGAAAGGGCAGCGAGATCCTCGTGCAAGGAAAATGGATTGTTTTGTTTTCGTTTCTAACCCCGTTCCAGCCCCCCAGAAATCGAAACCGCGCGATGACGAGGCGTCAAACCTTTGACACCTCCAATCAGTCTCATTTTTCCGTTCGAAAGAGTTAACTTGGCTCGAGGTTAACGATTCTTGTTAATTTTCATTCGAAATTACGTAGATCTGACGTTGACCTATTTTCACCAACGCTAAAACTTTCACCCAACAGTGGCGCCATTATTGAGACATAAAAGGGCTACTTGAAGTGCTCAAAAAATACGTATAGGGAGAATTAGTACACGATTACTCTGGTCTCACGATAAATGTTCAAAATAAACGAACAATTGTCGAGTGATTCTCTATTTCAATATTTTAAATTTTTGCAACTCCAAAACAAGGTGTTCACAAGGTGGACCAGCGAATATCTAGATTCTGAATTAGTGTACACGATTACTTTGGTCTCAGGATAAATGTACAAAATAAAGGAACAATCGTCGAGTGATTCTCAAGAATATTCTATTTCAATATTTTAAATTTTTGCAACTACCATTTATTTGCAACGTGGACCACCGAATATCATAGATTCTGAATGTTAAGATCGCGATAGGACACGTTATAGTGATCGACAGGAATCCGCGGTTAATCCTTTTGGTCCGGACGCTCGGTGTTTATTATTTCATGGTCGATCTCATTGAACGTACACAGGGTCCGCACACTGTCAGGGGGAGTCGTGGGTGAGTGCGTGGCCGTGTGGTGTACGCGGTAGGCGCCAAGAGATACCAAGGCGCCTTCTTAATTGTGGGAAAGCGGCGCCGACGTCTGGAGGGCCCCAGCATCGTGTGAAGCCGCCGCGATTCCGGAGACGATCCTCGATTTTTAAACAATTTTTCAACGAGCACCTTCCATACCATTCTGGAGAAACCTCCTTGTTCGAGCAATCGAGATTCCACAATGTTTACGTCATGCGTGGACCACACCTTCCCATGCAACATTGATCAATTTTACAATGAGAGTTTCACTAATCAAAATTGACGACTGTCTTCTGAGATAGGAAATTGCTTTTGGTAGGTGACTATCCTCAAGGTGCAGAGAAGGAGGATATGCAAGCTTTGATAAATGTTTTCTGAGCTAGGAATTTTATTTAGGAACTATAGTGGCCATCCTCAAGGTGTAGACAAGGTGGATGCAAGCTTTGATGAATGCATTCTGAGCTATGAATTTTTTAAAATATCAAAATGATCATCCTTAAGGTACATAGGAGGAGGATACAAGCTTTGACGAATGTTTTTCAGGGCTACGAATTTTTTAAAATACCAGAGTGACCATCCTCATCAAGGTGCACAGAAGGAGGATGCAAGCTTTGACAAATGTTTCCTGAGCTACGAATTTTTGTAAAACACCAGAGTGACCATCCTCATCAAAGTCTTCGAAAGGAGGATGCAAGCTTTAACGAATGTTTTCTGAGCTATGAATTTTTTAAAATACCAGAGTGACCATCCTCATCAAGGTGCACAATAGGAGGATTCAAGCATTGACTAATGATTTCTGGGATACGAATTTTATTTAGGAACTATAGTGGCCATCCTCAAGGTGCACAGAAGGAGGATATGCAAGCTTTGATGAATATTTTCTGAGCTATGAATTTTTTAAAATACCAGAATGACCATCCTCAAGGTGCACTGGAGGAGGATGCAAGCTTTGATGAATATTTCCTGAGCTATGAATTTTTTAAAATACAAGAGGTGACTATCCTCAAGGTGCAGAGAAGAAGGATACAAGCTTTGATGAATGTTTTTCAGAGCTACGAATTTTTTAAAATACCAGAGTGACCATCCTCATCAAGGTGCACAGAAGGAGGATGCAAGCTTTGACAAATGTTTCCTGATCTATGAATTTTTTAAAGCACCAGAGTGACCCATCCTCATCAAAGTCTTCGAAAGGAGGATGCAAGCTTTAACGAATGTTTTCTGAGCTATGAATTTTTTAAAATACCAGTGACCATCCTCATCAAGGTGCACAATAGGAGGATTCAAGCATTGACTAATGTTTTCTGGGATACGAATTTTATTTAGGAACTATAGTGGCCATCCTCAATGTGCACAGAAGGAGGATATGCAAGCTTTGATGAATATTTTCTGACCTATGAATTTTTTAAAATACCAGAATGACCATCCTCAAGGTGCACTGGAGGAGGATGCAAGCTTTGATGAATATTTCCTGAGCTATGAATTTTTTAAAATACAAGAGTGACTATCCTCAAGGTGCAGAGAAGAAGGATACAAGCTTTGACGAATGTTTTTCAGAGCTACGAATTTTTTTAAATACCAGAGTGTCCATCCTCATCAAGGTGCACAGAAGGAGGATGCAAGCTTTGACAAATGTTTCCTGAGCTACGAATTTTTGTAAAACACCAGAGTGACCATCCTCATCAAAGTCTTCGAAAGGAGGATGCAAGCTTTAACGAATGTTTTCTGAGCTATGAATTTTTTAAAATACCAGAGTGACCATCCTCATCAAGGTGCACAATAGGAGGATTCAAGCATTGACTAATGATTTCTGGGATACGAATTTTATTTAGGAACTATAGTGGCCATCCTCAAGGTGCACAGAAGGAGGATATGCAAGCTTTGATGAATATTTTCTGAGCTATGAATTTTTTAAAATACCAGAATGACCATCCTCAAGGTGCACTGGAGGAGGATGCAAGCTTTGATGAATATTTCCTGAGCTATGAATTTTTTAAAATACAAGAGTGACTATCCTCAAGGTGCAGAGAAGAAGGATACAAGCTTTGACGAATGTTTTTCAGAGCTACGAATTTTTTTAAATACCAGAGTGACCATCCTCATCAAGGTGCACAATAGGAGGATTCAAGCTTTGACAAATGTTTCCTGAGCTACGAATTTTTGTAAAACACCAGAGTGACCATCCTCATCAAAGTCTTCGAAAGGAGGATGCAAGCTTTAACGAATGTTTTCTGAGCTATGAATTTTTTAAAATACCAGAGTGACCATCCTCATCAAGGTGCACAATAGGAGGATTCAAGCATTGACTAATGATTTCTGAGATACGAATTTTATTTAGGAACTATAGTGGCCATCCTCAATGTGCACAGAAGGAGGATATGCAAGCTTTGATGAATATTTTCTGAGCTATGAATTTTTTAAAATACCAGAATGACCATCCTCAAGGTGCACTGGAGGAGGATGCAAGCTTTGATGAATATTTCCTGAGCTATGAATTTTTTAAAATACAAGAGTGACTATCCTCAAGGTGCAGAGAAGAAGGATACAAGCTTTGACGAATGTTTTTCAGAGCTACGAATTTTTTAAAATACCAGAGTGACCATCCTCATCAAGGTGCACAGAAGGAGGATGCAAGCTTTGACAAATGTTTCCTGAGCTACGAATTTTTGTAAAACACCAAAGTGACCATCCT